ATACAGTTATCAAAACACCAATTTACATATTAAAGAATTTCTTGTACAAAAAAAAACTACTATAAAAAACAAAAAAAAACAGAAACAACAAATCCATTGTAAATTTATAGATCCTCATTATGTGAATATATCAAACTGTCCATAATTTTGACAAATAAGTGAACCATAAAATGAAAGCTTGTAATTATAAGAAAAACTTCAACATGCAGGGTACTGAGTATTATTCAATAGAAACCAAATCATTTCATCTTATTTTGCAAAGCCTGAAAACAAAGTTAGTATCAGGTCAAAGTGTTAACACTCACCACAGCAATAGACACCTGTAACATTTCCTCAAACAGTGAATCTTCTTGTTTGTGACGGCCACTGGTGTCAACTATAATAATTTCAAATCCTTCATTCTTAAACTTTTCCACTCCATCTTGGGCTATAACAACTGGGTCTACCTCTGTATAACTGTTGAGAAAGTTTATACACCAAGTAAGTTGTAAAGGACTATAAAAGAGTTTGTCAGTTCTTAAGAAAATTCTGAAATTCTAATTCTAAAAAAGTTGGCCAAACCTCTGTATTTCTGATGATTAAAAAATTGAATACAGAAATAACAACCAAAACAGGAATGCTACTTTTCAGTCATACCAGAACTATGGCACTGGTATATAGGCCTTTATGAAAGCAGTAAAACTAACACACTGGAAGAAAAACATCTTTTTTCTGAAGGAAAAATAATCTCTCTTTTCCTTTCTTATGCAGGATCATCTTCTGTACTTTAGATGGCAGTAATTGTGTGAGTTTTATACAGATTCTTGTTTGTTCAAAAGCAATAGTCACATATATAACAGTTATATATAACAGTGCTACAACAACAATGATGATCACACTGTTATAATTACACTAACAGTCTCAAAACCAATGATGATCACACTGTTATATTTACACTAACAGTCTCAAAACCAATGATGATCACAATGCTATTTTCACACTGACATTCTCATAGCCAATAATGATTACACTGTTACTTACACACTAACAGTCAAAACCAATGATGGTTACATTGTTACTTGCACATTAACAGTCAAAACCAATAATGATTACATTGTTACTTGCACACTAACAGTCAAAACCAATGATGGTTATATTGTTACTTACACACTAATAGCCAAAACCAATGATGGTTACATTGTTACTTACACACTAACATTCAAAACCAATAATGATTACATTGTTACTTACACACTAACAGTGAAAACCAATGATGGTTACATTGTTATTTACACAATGATAGTGAAAACCATTAATGATTACATTGTTACTTACACACTAACAGTCAAAACCAATGATGGTTACATTGTTACTTACACACTGATAGTGAAAACCATTAATGATTACATTGTTACTTACACACTAACAGTCAAAACCAATGATGGTTACATTGTTACTTACACACTAACAGTCAAAACCAATGGTTACATTGTTACTTTCACACTAACAGTCTGAAAAATTATGATTACATTATTATTTACAGACTAACAGTCAAAACAAATAATGATTACACTGTTCCTTACACACTAACAGTCAAAACTAATGATGGTTACATTGTTATTTTCACACAATGAACAAATTAGCCAAATCAACAGGTTTCATTAGTGTATAAGTTATGAGAATAATCCAAAATCTGCTTGAGATTAAATCAATCTTACCTGCCATAGAAGGGAATCCTTGCTTTTGTAGCATTTTGTTTTAGCTGATCAAAAGCTCCAGCCCGAAATGTGTCAGCACACACCAGGCTTGTCTTCCACCCTTTCTTCTGGTAGTAGTAGGCTAGCTGTTACAAAAGTCAAGTTACCAACATTTATTTTTTTATTTATTAACTATCTTAATCTTTGTAATAATTATTAAATAATTTCATCTAGTAGTAGTGTGCTAGTCTTTGCAATAATAAGTTAAAACCTCAAGGAGTTTCTATGAAAAAGTTAATTACACTTGTTCTTTTAAAGAAAGACAAAACAGCATCTTGAACACAGTACGTCTTCCTCACTAACACTTTTCTTGGACAGAAGTAGGTCTAGAACAACAATTTTCCATACTTCTGCCTTCATGAAGTGGTAAGGACTGTTACAAACATACTAAAATGCTAATCCAGATTGAATTCTATTATGCAGACACTCAACAAAGTTCTCCATAAAACAGAAGATAAACTTGTTTCAAATCTTTATCTAATAATAACCTAAAATAATTTTTCATACCTTGGTGCATGTGGTAGTTTTACCACTTCCCTGCAGACCAACAAACATGATAATATTTGATTTGGCTTTGGTTGGTTGATAAGCTTTGACACCAGGATCAACAAGCTAACATGATACAAAGAAAAAATCTATCATTAGTGGTTAAAGTAAATTGATAGCAGATTCAAATTCATACCTTTTTTTCACACTATACTGTGTGTACAAACATGTTTTAACATCTAAATGGATATACTTGTATTTTCAAAAACTTTATGTATCCTATAAAGATGTAAAAATTATTTTTTTCATAGAACAATCACACATTTCTAATTAACTATAATTTAAATTCATTATTGTTGTTTGGTCTTAAATAAATCAAACTAATTCAGTTCTAGAGCATTTGGGCTTTAAATTAAATGATGTACCTAACTAAATAAGAATATTATTGAAGTAGTATCTTGTGCTATAAAATTAAGATTCAGAGAATAATTAGAATTTACTATTATTTAATACTGCAACTTACTTACCCTACTTGACAGAAAAAAAGGAAAAACCATATTTCTTTCTATTACCAGACACTGTTAATGTACAAAGAAGCTACAAATTACACAAAAACACAAGGTTATTGTGTTCACTTATAAGTGATTTGATAGATGCCTAACATACTTTAAATGGAATATGATATAATAATAATAAGTATGTGGGTTACTTATAGGAAACTGAAAACAACACACAAATGATGAGGTTGGCTGAAATCCCCTACATTCAGCCATTCTTCAGTTCAAACCTACAAACCCTTTACATAGTTCGTTTCGAAACATTGTAGTAGCACTTTTTAACCAAATGTGAATGTAAGATATACATCAAATAACTAAAAAAAATTACTGCAGCATAATAACAGAAACCTGTCAATAATGGCATGTAATTTGTATCCATCTTACCTTAACAAGTTCCTTAAAAACTGCTGACTGAATCATTCTTCGCTTGTTTAATCCTCCAGCCATGTCTTCAAAATCAATCACTGACCTGTAAAGTTGTACAAATGAAAGCTTGTACACTTACTACACAGATTTAAAAATGGCAATAACATTACAGTGATTTCAAGAATATACATAAATGCATTTTATGTGATTCTACCTCATTTGGACTATTCTACACAGTTTTGATTTCCTTATCTTAGGAGGGAAACTGAGTCATTGGAAAGGATGATTCTGGGGGAAAATATGTTGTCAAATGAGAATATGGCAATACAAAATAAAAAACAAAGACTGGTCACAGAGATTTTCTGACAGCAAAATTCATTACATTCAAGAAAAGAGTTGACTTATGCAATTTTGTCAGGTTTTATGTATGGGCCGGATTCTTTACAATATGTGTCTGTGACTTGTTGGTGATAAATTTCAACAATAAACAAACAGCACACAATCCATTTGCTTTAATATAACATATTTACACAAGTCAAACATATATACAAATATCTGTCATACTGTGGTTACCACAGTTGTATCCAGAGCTTTAAATAATTGTCTTTTTCTTCATCAAAGTCGCAGTGTCTGGTTCAATTACTTTACAAAACAACTGACAAGACAAATTATTTTTCTCTACTCTGTTACTACAGTACAATATGCAATAATTTCATTTTAAAAATTGCCACTATATGCTCTTTATGGCTAAACTAACAACCATGCAGTCTAGATCTATCTTTCAAACTATATTTTTGATGGGCATTTATACCCTGACAGAGGTCTAGAACACTCCACACACTACGAGATATTATGATGAAATAATATTTAATTAAAACAATGAAAAAATCTAGAAGGTTCTAGTAACATGACTCGATAATATAACAATCACCAATTCATAACTACTGAACTACACAATGTATGATTGATAAACATTTACATTAACAAACTTGCGATAAACTATCACTTCTAAAAATAACTAAATTTAACACTCCCACTATATAAGCTATCTAAATAATAACACTCTCATTAAACTGGATCAATCGTGTATGTCTAACAATTTCAAAATCTGTCTTTTTGACGTTAATGAATTTTGCTACTAAAAATATCATTTCTTGTAATGGTAATTAGCTTTGAAGATCAGATGTATGGTGTAGTTATGAATTCTACATTGGCTCCTTCTTTGGACAACCTCTTTCGTTCTGATGAAAAACAAAAGATGGAAGTATTTCCACAGCCTTTTAAGTGATTATACAAAAATAGACAGGGTTTAAAATTAGCTTGAAACAATTAATTTATACATCTTTTGTTTGATTAGACAAGTGTAAAATCATTGACATAAACTTTCTTATTAATAATATGTTAAATAAATGAATCATAGAGTTTGAATTTACTTTTATTTTTCTTTGATGTCACCATGATGCATATTCTTCCTGTTGTAGCTGAGTTTTATACAAGACAATACCATGTTATGTTCAGTGTATAAATATGAATTTTCATTGGTTGGAGTGTATTGCACATCAATGTTTTAACCAATCAGCATTCATATTCTTCGTAACCTTGTTATGAATTCACAAAATGTGGGCCCAATCAAAAAATGAGGAGAACTTGGTGCTTAAATATATTAAGATGTATTCTTAAACCAGGAAGACATTTACAGAATTTGTTTAGCTGTAAAGACAATCTATCCACTGAAAACATCAAATGTTGTTAGTTAATTTATTTGTCTTTGTTGTAAGCATGGTCATATTGGATCTACCATAACATGTGTGAAAGAACATGTATTGGAGAACACCATAAATAAATGTAATGTAGATATCAATTTAATCATGTTAAAATATTAATTACAAACAATTTAGCACATAAGTTGCTGATTATGTTCTAAAAAAAGAAGCAAGTACATTTGTATAATTACATTTATATGTATACAGTAATTAGCTTCATAAAAAAAAAGTAAAGTATAAGTGTAAAAATGGTGTTAAAAATTATTGTGATTATAAAAATTAAATGAATATTTAATCCTAAATGACTAATAAAAAAACAACTCATAATACCAATTATCTTGATCTATGGGTTTTGTTTCTTTGTTTTTAAAGAATACAAACTAAATACTTCAAAATGGAAAGTAAATAAAACATATAGAAAATAATACCTACAAAAATATATAATACAAATGATAAAAATAAATCATCATGATTTGCATAACCAAATTACACATAAAGCTTCATACCTCTTCATGATATAGTACATAAAATAATTACCCAAAATTATTCATAATACATGAAATCACTGAAAGTTTTAACTAATAATTAAATGTTTGCATTATAAAAATTAATAGCTAATGTAACACATGATATGTACACCTCGAACACTAAAGAAATAAAAAAGAATAAATACAGTCACTTAATAATAATTTAATAGTAGCATAGTTTCAGAATATAAATATAAACACGTGGCCATAAATATTTTTGCAAAGAAAAACATTCATGGTGTAAACACAACTTCTAATACTTTTAAAAACTTGATCACTTTACTAAAACAAACATTATACAAATCTTGTGACACTTGACTAGCTAAAAATCAAGACTGTGTATAAGTAAAAGTTAAAAAGACTGGATAACTTGTGCATCAATATGAAAAAGATACTTAGAATATATAATAGCAAGTTCTAATCAATTAAAGGAGAATTTTTTTCACAGATAAATATCAGGACATTCTAAACCAATAGTAGAGCATTATTAATATAAATTTAAACCATTAATCAATTCAAACAAAAAATATCTGCTTGCAAAAAACAAAAAATGTATAGCAACATTTTAAAACACTCAGTATATAAATTTCCATAAAAAATAAATGTTAATTGTCAAATAATGCTTGTAGTTTGATTGTGATTTGACATAGAAGCATTTGTAAGATTCACAATATATCACACAGAAGATCAAGTTCAACAAAAAATTAAAAACTAAGTATGCAGATGCAACATATTATCAAAAAGGATCCAGTTCATTTCTAAATGTAATTAAAACAAATTTTAATTTACTTTAATTTTATAATAAAACTTTTAAGCAGCCAACTGCAGTGAAATACCAAAAATACTCACCTAACATTTTCCCTCAACTGTTTTACAAGTTTAATATTAACATCAGCTTCCAACAGAGCAGCACATATCTCCTTCAGCATAGAATCTAGCACCTAAATCAACAAATTAGCCATCTTTTAGCACACAAAAAACATAATTCTTTAGCATAGTCTGGTACCTAAATCAACACAATAGCCTTCTTTTAGCACAAAAACATGTCTTCTTCAGCAAAGAAGTTAGTACCTGAATCAACATAGAATCTAGCACCTGAAGCAACAAAATATTCATTTAGTATGCAAAATATCACATATCTCCTTCAGTTTAGAATCTAGCGCTAGAAGCAATGAATAACTGTCTTTCAACATTCAAAATAACAAAAGCTTGAGCTTAGAGAAGAAATAATGTTCTTGGTTATCAAATAATCTATGGATCTAAAGGACCCAATAGCATATCCTACCAATCAAAAAAATGTCTGATTATTACTACTTCTCACTGTCTTCTACATTTCAGACAATTTTCTAATCACTTTTTATTTATTTATCAACATTCCATAAAAAATTTGACTTTCTAAATAACCTCTTATGTGGCAACTTATCAACAGGCTCCACTAAAGTCAAGATACACAACAATAGGTAAATTTTTGAAAGGCATTGTTAACGAACTGCATCTGTCCAGGAAGTTTTTGGATGGCGTTTTGAGCTGCTAGCGAAGATTTTCATCATCAGCTCAAAATACTTAAACCTTATAAAAGATTCTAACACTTATATGAGTCAGAAAGATGTTTCTAAACCTCTGCTGATGCTCAAACAGAGGACTTCAATATCTATGTCAGCTAACAACAAAAACAAAACTAACTGAACCTTATTTTCCTAAATTTTCCTTGACTTTTAAGAAATTAGAGTCCATATTAAAAATCTTCCAATCATGAGAAATTCACATTATGTATCAAGCCAACTTCTAATTTTTATGATTAATCTCTTCATGACTTGGACCTTTACTGTACAAATTTCTGAAGTTTTTTCAAAATAGCAATTTCAACAAAAACGACAGAATTAAAAAAACTCCTCTCCATGATTAAACAGGTTACGTATTTATTATTCTTAATTTCTAATCTGACTAATAAAAACAGTCATATTTTAACAGCTTGGCTAAGTACCTGAACAACATAACATTCTCATTTCAGTTTCTTAAAGGTTTAATTTTGTCCTTAACTCTCTTCCTGAGGTTTGCAAAACTTTCCAATGACTTAATACTTCAAGCTTAAATACTGGCATAGAACTCCATGAGTGTATCCATGTAAATTACGTGTATGATATCCCTTCCATATGATTTTTTCAGTAGTAATAATTTGTTATTATGTATTATAATTACATCATAATCTATTTTTATAACAAAGTTTATTTTTTGCTAAACAAAGAACAAGTCAATTACTGTCCATCATTTCTTGATGCCAAAAATTATCTGAATAAAATACATTAGCTTCCAGGCTTTCCTTTTTGTTTTTTGGGTTTTTTACATGCACCCACTTTTGTAACATTATATATTTAGCTGGAGCTGAATATACAATATACAATTAAATTTTTCAGGGCTTAGTTTCACAAAAGACTACCCTAACTTTTTCATAAAATTGCCATTCTTAATTTCCTAAAACATAAAACAAGCAATGCAATAGAAAGCTCTTCAGCATATTGAAGTCATCTCTCACCCAATAAAACAAGTAATCAAAACATCATACTCCAAATTGAATGTAACCTTTTATATACAAAGATACTTACAATAAAATTTTGAAATAATTCAAATTAACAGAAAAAAACTTCTAAGACAAATCATTCCACAAATTTATGAATATAATACAAAAATAATTTTATCAAAGCACATGTCTGCATTTTGGCTTTGATAGCTTAAAACTTTTACCTCTAAATATAAGTTTTTATTTCTAAACTTTTCATCACACTGTAAAAACAAGCTACCCTAAGTGTCTCAAAACTCAAACAACCCAATCCAGTCACCTGAACTTTCTGTATGCTTTAAACAAAACAAGTCCAAAGCTTTAATCTTGTCCTCATACCTTAAAATACTTGAATCATGCATTATTCTAATGATCATCTTCAAACCTTCCTAACATCATTTCTATTGTGAAAAAACAAATGTTCAAGCAGTACTTCTAGTGTGCCTTACCTGAATATTATGATGGTTTTATTAACCTTCTTACTTTGAAATTCAAAAATCCTATGTACTCAGGAACGAACTTTTGTTTGAAAACAAATTTTTTCAAGGGTTAGCTTTCCTTTCAACAAGTTTGGCAGAACTGATAATGGTTTTCAAAGCTTACTTACATTTCTCACACTCAGATTAGATGCATTTTTTTCTCTACCATCATATCTCAATATTTGAAAGTAGTTTTTCCCCTAAAATCCAAGTCTCTTTGTTAGCTCACCACAAAGTTGTGATAAAATGGTCTAAATGAAGTAATGAAAAACTTCACATTTGTTGCTTCATACAAACATTATGCTATCTATTCCTTTGCTTCTAAACATTTTGATCAAACAGTACAGTCCCTCTGTTATGCAAGGTTAAAACAGAAAAGCAAAGATCAAATAAAAAGTGGAAAACTTTACCCTCATTACCTAGTTAGAAGTAGTTAATAGTTTTAATGCAATTTTTTCACCAAAAAAATCTTTTATCAGTTCTGATAGGATTTCTAAACCAAATCAACAGATCTCAGAAAAAAAAATCCATCTTTCAGCTACACTTTTACTATCACAAATGAAAACCAATTTGTAAAAACTACTAATGCTTTTTGAAAATTGTAGCTAAAGGCCTCAACAATCACTAATCTTAATACAGATTACACTTAATACACTGTTTATACATGAACAGTGCTTTCAGGTGTCCTCAAAAGTACATATACCATCAACCACACATCAAATGCAATACAGTATTTTTTTCTAATCTACACGTATAAAAAGGTCTTGTGTACTGAATATGAAATTATTTTCTTTCCAGCTTAAAAAATAAAAACTATAGAAGACTTGATACAGGTGTTTAAAATTGCCACGGGTTTGGATACAAAGCCTATAGGTTTTTATTCAAGTGGTACCATAAAAAAGGTTGGAAGTGTGAAACTGAATATATGTGGTAATAAACTTTAGAAGCCCAAATCTAGAATTGTTCTTCAGCAAAATTATTTTTCTGTTATAAATTTTTTGAAATGGTTTGCTTGATAATGTCATTTCATACTATGGAATTTTGTTGTATACATTGTAGATATAAAGTTACATTAGTTTTGGTTTTCATACTTTGATGGGTAAGAGGGTGATCTCTATAGCCTTGTGTTATCTTGCTCATTCTTGAGTTTCTATACTACACGTATAATTATTTCAGTATTTTGAAATGAAGAACAATTTTTCACAAAAAAGCTTTTTATTAAGTGGTAAACTGATTAGAATATTAGGTAATTATATCCTAATATTTTTAATAATTAAAGGAATTGGTTCAGAGAAAGGTTACTGGGATAATTTCAGCAAGGAAGGATTATCTTGTGCATAAGATCTCTTATTTTCTCTTATAAAAAAAGGGAAGGGATGAACTTATTAAAGCATACAAGATTATCCAGAAGATCAACAGGAAAAAGGCTCTTGATTTCTTTGTGATGAATTCTGAGGATTATAGAACAAATGTTTAAGATTTGAAAAAGGTAGACAAGGTGGCAGTTAAGACAGGTTTATTCTCCCAATAGGATGATTGGATTACTTTTGATCAAAAGTCATGGAGACTGGCACCCTAGCAGACCTATTGATTATTTCATGGAAATTAAAGGATGGGTTGAATATTTATTTTTCTTATGGTATGATGTGCAGTGATAGCCTTGATGAACAAAATGATCCCTTATTTTCTATAAATTATGTGTTATATATTTTATTTATGTAAAAGTAAGAATAAAGATAAAACTCATTTTATACATTGGTATTTCAAAATGAACATTGTCATACAGAAAGAAAATTTTTTTTATATGAATAGAAGAAAATAAAATATTTCCAAATATGAGTACGTACATTTTTATGTTATAACAATAATTTGGTAGTAACCTACAACTAACATATTTGTATTTTGATTTTCAGAAGGCATTTGAAAAAGCACCAAAAAGAAGAAAAACAAATAAAATCGCATCAGTGAATAACGGGGAAAAACTAGTTGACTGGATTGTAGGATGGGCTGGGTGAGAAAAAGCAAAGTCATTATTAAAATATTTCAGTCAAATTAGACCTCTGGTGCTAATGGTGTGAATTAGGGGTTAGAGTTTGTGCCTTTTTTTTCATATTACAATTAATAATGTTGTTAAAGCATAATTAGAGACCTCTGGTGATAGTGGTGTGAATTAGGGGTTAGAGTTTGTGCCTTTTTTATATTATAATTAATAATGTTGATAAAGCATAATTAGTAAATTAGTAATTGCTGATGACATTAAATTTGAGTATTTCTGACTATACTGAGGATGTTAAGATACTACAGAGGTACTTGGATCAACTAGTTAGTTGGCAAATGACTAATTATAATGGGTGGAAGGTTACACTTTTGAGTTTTAATTTGGACCAGGTGTGATAAACATGGGAACCCACTCAAAAAAAGATATTGGAATAGTGGTAGATATGCCATGAAGTTAGTGATACACTGCTATTAGCAAAGTTAATATAATTTAATATGTATTCATACACACTGATTACAAGCCAAAAGGGATAATTACCTGCTTATACAAATTGCTCATTAGGTTTCACTTGTATTGTGTAGAGCAATGGTCTACTTATCTAAGAGAAGGTTTATAGGAAGGGCTATTAGAATGATTGTGGAGATCAAAAGAGTTTCCATACAGGACAGGTTAAGATCACATTTTCTCTAGTAAGCAGAGTGATAACAGGTGATCGTATTGAAATTTATAAAGGGTATAAAGATAAAACTAAAGAAAAAGCATTATGAATTTATGAAATTTAAACTGACTGCTATGATTACAGATTTAGAGAACTGTAGAAGATCAAGAGAGTTGATCAAATAGGAAATCAAAAACTATATGAAAAGAATTAAATAGGTTATGATTTCATTGTATAGGTATTGATTAGGTTACATTTGAAGTATTGTGTTCAGTCTTGAGATCTTTACCTTAAGAAGGACATTGCATCATTGGAAAGGGTTCAGAGGGCTATTAGAATGATATCTGAGATGGAAAGGTTGTTATATAAGGACAGGTTAAGAGCTAAGAAATTATTTTCTCTAAAAAAAAGAAGAGTTATAGTGGATCTGATTCAGATGTTTAAAATTGTTAAGGGGTGTGATGGTGTTGATGCATCATAACTTTCTTTTATATACTTAATGATGATAATGGTAGGAGTCATTTTCAGCTAAGACAGCTATATTTTTCTAACAGGGTGGTTGACCTTTGGAAGGGGTTGCCTTCAGATTTGGCAGATGCAGTTAGCTTAAGAGAGTTTAAGGAAAGGCTTTATAAATATTTTAATGATAAGGGTTGACTTTGAGTGTTTTATTTTAATTTTAAAGTTTATATTAGTGGATGAGATGGCCTAGATGGACCAAAAGCTCCTTGTTGTTCTTCAATTAGATGTATGTATAGATGCATAGCATATTTAGGGGACCAATAGGAAAAAGGCCTTTGACTTTTTTGTACTGTATTCTGAAGACAACAGGATGAGAGGATACACTTTTAAAATCTGGAAAAGGCAGTCGAGACAGTTTTATTTTTCTAACAGGAAGATAAGCTAACAGCATGACTTGTCATTGGTATTAGAGGTGTCCCAAAAATCAGTTGCCATTTTAACACTGCTCTTCTTTTTCTTTGCATTTTTTTTTACTGATACTAAGTATTGATGAATATATGGAGGTGAATTGTATTCAACATCTGTAGTACTGTATCAATTTTGATAACAAACATTTGTGGGTCTAAAAATTTTATTTTGACTTTTCCTCAAAGGTGGCTGTGCAACTTGCAAGGATAGTCTTGAAGGACAAAATGGTCCCTTGTTATGTTGTTTAAACTTTCTGGGAAGGTAGTGCCACTGACAAAAATATAGGTTCAAAGTAACTGACAAAATATCATTTTTTACTAATAATCTAATGCAATAGCTAATTATGTACTAAGTACAGTCTAACTTATAAGGCTACGAGCAACAAAACTGTGAACGAGAAACTTTACGAAATTGTACAGAAGTTGTCGCCGAAATTAACAACGCTAACCGAGGTTGAACACTCGGATTCAGAATACTCTTGATTAGTGACATGTGAAGATAAAGTTCATGGATTGAACAAGCTAAATTAATTTTAATTTTAAAATTAAACCTTGACTCAAGTCTGGTTGGAGACTTAGATTTCGGGAGTGACATTTCTTTTAGTTTTCTTTATTCTTATTCTTACCTAACTCAATTCTAGCTTCTAAGATAGGTTAAAATTTACCTCTTTGTTTATGATGGTTGCATTGCTCAGTGAACGCAACGCTGAAGTTATCTTTCTCCCTAAATCTGCCAAAACCATTTTGAAACTTAAGAAGTATTAATTATCATTAACAAACAAATAATTTAAATACAGAATACTTCGAACAATATTGCGAATTGATGTTACACGCACACGTAGCTGTCGTACGAGATTCAGACTCAGTGCTGCCCTCTATGAAATAATAACGTAAATTAGTATTACCAAATTTTAATGATAAACCTTTTATAGACTTCTTTCAAAAACTATTACGAATTTGTAATTACAGAAAAAAAAATTATTTTGTTGGCTAATTAGAAATAATTAGCAAACGAAATTATTTAACCTACCCACTAAGCTATACAATGCTTTTATCTAACATTCAAAATGAAAACTATGTCGTCTAAAGTACTTTGTCGCATTTGGAACATAAAATTTTCTTATTAGTATTTATGTTTATGACAAAGGTACTAAGGCTATTTGATGTCATCTTCTTTTTTTTTTTTTGTTCACCAAAAACGTCCAACATTCAATAGTCAGTGATATTATTTTTGTGCTAGTCAAACACTATTATGAGTCATCCCCTTTATTAGTTCTGAATTTTCCAATGAAAGATATCACTGGAGAATTACCTTAAGCTTGTTCTAATTGGTTTATTAGTCGTATCAGTTGTGTAAATGCTTAGAAATACTTGAAGCCTTTCTCTTCCCTATTTTTGTGATGTAAATGACAAATGTTAAGTATAAAGTGGTCCAGATTTTCATTTGGTACAATACTTTCCCGTATTTAGAGAAGGAAATTTAATCTGTCTGTCGTCTTGTTAACGCATATCCTGATTGAATTATCTGGCATTGTCTTGTCGTGCTCGTCTAAAGCAAAGTAAAGTTATTTTGTCAAACCTGTTTTCCAGTTTCGTTCTTTAATTCAGTCATATCAAATGTTAGATAAATCGTGCAATATATTTTCTGGCGAACCTTTTGTTAGAATGATTACTATTCTTACCTGTCGGAAATCGGTGTACTTGAGAATACTGTTACGTCTCCGTTTGTTAATTAACATTCCGTAACTTCGTTCCGACGAAACTTTAGCGACACAAGTCCTTACTTAATAAAACTGGTTTATTCTTCCTGAATATAACTTCACGATACACTTGATTTCAACATTCGCGCTAAAACAAACGCTATAACG